GTTTTTTGAATAAACTAGAAATTAGGATCTTTTTTCTACTATTTTATAGATTATATAGTAAAAGCTAACTTTAAAGACTAATCAGTTACTAATTTTTGGTTTAATTTCAGTTCTAGGCTTGAAATCATATAGATATTGTTTAAGAAAATTATAAATTTTATTAACAAAGTTTGTTTGAAGTTGAGATTTATCTTTTATTTCTTCAATAACAAAGAAGTTGGCAAGCCAGTCAAATGATAATTTTTTTGATGCTTATTGTTGGTATTGGTTTGTATTTGCTGTTATTGTTGTTTGTTAGGCTATTGTTGTTGTTGCTGTTGTTTTTTAGAATAAGCTAGTTGTTGATTGTTATTATCAATTATATTATTATCTAAATTTATATTATTATCTAAATTCATATTATTTGAATTTTTAGTATTATCTGTGTATAAAGTTGTAAAGATAAGCTAATGGATTATATGATTAAATTAATTGTTAAGTTTTTGTATAAATATAGAATAAGAACTTGATTATTGAATAGATTGTTAATTATCTGTATAAATTTTATGATAAAGTTTATTATTGCATAAGACAACATCTGTTACTAAATAATATTAGTTATTTATTTCTTTGTAAGCAATAGACAAGTTGTATCTAGCACAAAAGTGGTTATATATAATAGAAAAAAGTAATACTATAAGTAACAGTAAAACAAATTTAATAGAATTTACAATATTATTTACTAGAATTTTTTTATTTTTAGGTTTTCTAATAACAGAATAGTTTCATATGGTTTGTAGGTTTGGTTGATTGTTAAAATAAAGTGTGCTTTAAAGTAGTAGTTATTTTTAGTATTGCCTTTAAATTTATTAGTAGTTATATAGTTGTTTGGTTGTTTGTTGTAAGAATAAAACATGATGTGTTAACTGCATCTTCATAAATACCAATTTCAAAGCTTTTAAAACACTTCTAATAAAAATAGTTAAGATTAATGATATCAAGTACAGTTGTTATTAAGGTCAGTATTTTATTTTAAAAATAGATTTTTAAATATGTTTTATAAAAAATATGTTTAGTTTAGAGGATTCTAGATTAGTTAGAAAAGTTTGAAAAACTGTATAGACTTCAGATAAGCTAATTGAATATTTAGAAAATTCTAATAAGTGGCAAAAAAGTAAAATTTCCAAAACAATTCTGCAAATTTTCCTAAAATATCAATAAAAAAACCTATAAAAAACAAGGTTTTGTTTTTATTTTCTATTTATATCTCTATGTGTTTTGATAAATTTTAAGCAAATTATATATTAAAATGTCTATCTTAGTAAGCTAAAAACTTTTGAATAGATAAAAAGTTAGGTTTAATTAATAATATATTGTATAAATAAACAAAAACTAAAATTTTAATTTTTAAAACTTTTCTCAGCAGCTAAGTATTATTGGAATTTAAAATACAACTGCCTAAAAAAAGAAAAGTATACTAAATAACATTACTTAAAGAGCCAAATTAGGTTTAGTTAATAGAAAGTTGAGAAATAATTAAATATTTTTCTGTAGTTTTAGTATAAGTGTTCTATGAAAAAAATTTTATATATGTAATAATTATATAACAAAATTATTAACTTACTATATAATAATAATTTAATTATTTATTTACTAAGTAAAAATAATTCAATTATACATATTTATAATCTAATATATATATTTATAATAGTGATAATACTTCAATTAGATTATATATTATAATTAAAATTAAGTCATATTATTAAAAAAATTTTTAATTGTATTTATTTATTACAATATTTACAGATATAATTTAGTTTTTATTTTATATATATATGTTATATCTCAAATCAATGATTGCCTCAGATGATAACTGAGGTGCCTCAGATGTTGATCATTATATGAGGTGCTTAACCTATTAATCAGTCATCTAAGGTGCCTCAGTTATTACCTAAGACAATATTCATGCAACTAAAAAAATTAGATTTTATAATGCTAAAATAAATATGAGAAACTTTATAATTTATATACTTATCAGAAACATAATTACAGTAACTTCCATATTAGCAATTAAATATTGTGATAATGGATTTTAGATAGAATTAGATAGAATTAATAAATGAATAATAAAGTAACTACAAACTGCAAAGTACAAACTACTTACCCAACTCTAAGTAAAGTGCAAGTATTGTCTTATAAGACTCCAGTGATCATTACTAATAAAACCCATCTGTCTCAATAAGCTAAACCCTCTATTGATCATTTGCCACAAGTCACATAACTATAAAGTCATTGCTGTAATAGAAGAGTTCTGACTCCGAATCAACATAGTGTAATTCTAGGTTGAGGCATACAAGAAAAGACACAGAAGAAAGGAATTAGTAAAGACAAGTAGGTTGAAGAAAAAACTCAAGAGAAGAAGAATAGTACTTACCTACAGATGATAAAGCACTCATCTGATCATTACATAAGACCAATCTTCGATTAGCAACAGACTCACCTATGTAGGAGCTTTTATGATATTTGTGGCTATTGTGAAATCAGGAATTGTGATACCGAATACCATGACCAATTACATGAAAAATGCATGAAATGCAATAAGTGCAATAAGTTATATTTAGGATCAGAAAAGGTATTTCAGAAGGGTAGATAAGGAATAAGGAAAGGATATGAGTATAAATTACATATCTTTATAAATATTAAATAAATTACTGTAAATAGTTTTAATTAGTTTTAAAGAATAATAAGTGTAAAGTTGCATTTGTGAGTAATGAATTTAGAGTTATAAATAAAGGCCAAAATGGCCCTTGAGAGGAGTATGCTGAGTATGCTTCATTTGTTTTATTAAATAATAACTCCCAATACTCTATATAGTATTTAATAAACACTAACACTATTACTGTTACAAAATTCTGTAAACTTATATAAATGACACTGTTCAAACCTGTAACTACATGACTTACCTACTTGCATTTATTGATCTGAAGTAACTGAAGCCTTTCTTGCCTACAAGCCAAATTTATCACCCTCTTTTGAAAAGGTTACTTGTCATACATTACATGAGATTTAGAATTTTGGAATGACTAAGTAGCAATCTTCCGAACCTAACATTTTGGTAGTAACTGTGAGATCTGAAACAACGTTCACTACACCCTTCTCTTTCTCAATTCGAAAAATTGAATTAATATAAAGAAGGCTTAATTAACTAGGAAACCTATCTAACTGAGTAAAAGAATAGTATTAGATGACATTTTGGAAAGAATCTTTGTACAGTTTAGCCCTGCCATTATGAATGCTACCCAATTGAGAGAATTGAGAGAATTGATAGAAAGTATGACCAAATCGTTCAAGGATGCAGCCAAAGATGATGTTAAGAAGAAAGAGTCTGGATCAAAGGAAACAAACCACGTGAAGGTTAGAAGCTTCAGGATAGTAACAATGAAGATCTGATCAAATGGTTTGATGATTTGAATATGCTGCAGAAGTGAACAATTGAACCAAAAAATGCAAGCTCAAAATAGCTTTTAGATATCTGAAGGAATTAGAGGTAGAATGGTATAAAGATAACAGGACCATCATAGAAGAATGAAGGAACAATAATGACCAGGATAGGAGCTTCTACCACTTATTGGTCATCTTCTTTGCCACCTCAGAAAGACAGCACAAGTGGCATATTCAGTTGAACAACCTTACCCAACTCGAAACTGAAAAGATAGACATTTACATCACCAAGTTTAAAAAATTGTTAAGCCATGTAAACCAAACCAACTCTTTACCCGTTCAGTATATAGTTAGAATGTTTTTAAGCAGGTTGAAAGGGAAAACAGCAACCTTTGTATTGGTAATGTCTCCAAATAATCTCAACAAGCAATTGCAGCTGCCAGGAAAGTTGAAGTCAGTAAATACTATAGTACCCACCTGCATGAGACTCCAGACAAGAAGGACAAATTGATAAAGGTATTAGTTAAGCAGGTGCAGCAACTATCAGTTAACTACGTTGCAGTAACCAGTCAGCAAGAATAGGATACGCATGATAAGAAATAGTATAATAAAGGAACATATAAGCCCAAGAGAGATATCATCTGCTATCAATAAGGTAAAAAAGGGCATATCACCTGAACTTGTATGTCAGAGAAGTACAGAGAACCTAAAGAGAAAAGATGACAGATGGATAATGTTAGAAGAGTGAACTACTATGACTATGAATATAATGATGATGAAGTGTATATAGCAGATAAAAGAAAGCAGATCTTACAGACCAAAACTGCTAATAAACAACCTAGGCTGCAACCTGAAGTGAAATGGGATAACTGACTTTGACCTCGCATAGAGCCCAAACCCTTGTTGATAAACAAAAAGAGTCAACTGGAGCCTATGAAGTTGGACAATCCATGGCCAGTCAAGCAATTTAGAAGAAAAAGAAAACTGTCTGTTGTAAATAGTCTTGCACTCTACAATATTGCAGAGAATCTATTAAATATCAGGACAAACACCATGTACAGTCAAATGCTTCAATACCTGAACCAAAAGTGAAACTTAGCCAAAGTACTATGTTGACCTCTTGTAGCCTTGGAGCCTAAGGAAATTCGAGTACTACAAGAAGTACAAGAGCTCCAGGTGGTGAACTTTAGTAATGCTCATAGAACAACAGCTGCCTATTGTTATGTTAGAATTAGAGGCAACTCTATTCGAGCTGTATTAGATTCAGGTGCTGCAATAAGTATAATAACGAGAAAACTCATAGAAAAATTAAGGTTAAAAATAGACAAACAATCATCTACAGTGGTAATTACAGCAACTAGCATGAGAACATGAGCACTAAGGCAAATCGAAGACGTAAAGGTAGCTATCCAAGATACTCTACTACCTAGCACTTTCTAGGTTATTGAATAGATGAACAAAACCCTACTGCTTGGCAATGACTGATTTCAAAGAACCCAAGTGCAAATTCATTTTGATGAACAATAGCTGTTTCTTAAGCATAACAGTAGACAAATCAAGATACCATCTTCAATAATGGCATGAAGAAGCTAAAAGTTCCAGAAGAAAAAGACCAGACGGTAGTGATAGCAGAGACAAATTTGGTGAATACACCTACGAAGATGAAGAACTAGTCGAGACAGAAGGGTATTATACAAAAGAAGCTGTTGAAGAACCTGATAATTTGTTCTATAACCTAGGAAGAATCAACAAGCCTGGCATTGTACTTGATGAATGTAGAAGAAATGCCAATGAAAGATGATGACGAAACTGAAGTTATAATGGAAGAATGGATAGAACAGTTCCTTCAGAATGATACTCTAAATAAAGAAAATAAAGAAAAGGCAGTGTTGTTCTTTAAACAAGAGAGGACTCTGTTCGCAAGCGATTTATGAGAGCTTAAAGAGATGAATATGATGACTTATTAGATCAAGACCACTGGTGCTAAGCTAATAAAGCAGAGAGCGTATAGGGCAGCACCCAGCAAGCATGAATTTATTGAGAAGGAACTAAAAGAATGAAAGAAAAGAGATTGATTAAAAAGTCGAGTAGCCTGTGGGCTTTGCCTGTAGTTGTAGTACCAAAGAAGGGTGATAAGCTACAACTATGCATTGATTATAGAAAATTAAATGCAGTAACAAGAAAGGACTTTTACCAACTACCCCATATAGATAATTTATTGGAGACCTTTAGCATCACAAAATGGTTTTCCAGTTTAGACTTAAAGAGTGGATATTGACAGGTGAAGGTTGAAGATGAAAACAGAAAGAAAATAGCATTTGTAATATGAGAAGAACTTTATGAATTCAACATCATGCCATTTGGATTGTCAAATACATCTGCTATGTTTCAATAATTGATGGATCATATATTAGAAGAATATGTTGGAAAATTCGTAACCATCAATATTGATGATATTAATGTCTATTAGTGCACTTTCGACAAACACTTGATACACTTAAAGAAGGTGTTTGATAAGTTAGCTGAGACTGGATTAAAAATAAATATAGTAAAATAAGAGTTCTTTAAACCCACTATCCACTTTCTGGAGCATATTGTCAGATGGCAAAGGATACAATCCAATAAAGACAAGATAGAAAAAGTTAAAAACTACTCTGTGCCTGATACCCTATGTCAGTTAAGAGAATTTATCAATCTTATATTGTATTATAGAAAGTTTATTACTAAATTTGTGACTATAGCACGACCTCTACACCACCTATTGCAAAAGAACATTAGCTTTGAATAGGGACACAACAGCAACAAGCATTCGAAACATTGAAGACACACCTAATTACAGCCCCATTCCAAGTATCTCGACTTTGATGACATCTTCTTCTTGTATACTGATGCATCTGGGATGAGATTAGAGACTGTTTTAGCTCAAAAAGACATTAACAAAAAAGAGTATATAATCTTGTATACCAGTCATAGCCTATTTAAAGCTAAAAGAAACTATTTAGCATGTAAATCAGAATGTCTAGCAGTTATTTAAGAAGTAGAATATTTCAGCTTTAAGCCATTTGTCATTATAATCGACTATTCTGCACTAAAGTTGCTATATAGTATGAAGTTAAAGAGTAAAAGGGCCTGTTGAATACTTCGTTTACAGCCATACAATTACATGATCCAGCATAGATTGGAATATACACATTGGAATATGGATGTGTTGTTTCAAATAAATAGAATAAGAGATGACATTGTGGAAGTATATATGGTAATAGAAATAAGTAATAAAGAAGAATTAGTAACAGAAAACGTCGAAGAACAAGCAAGTAAAATGCAACCCAACTTACTCAATTTCAAACAAGTATTTGACCCAAGAGCCCTACTGATCTCTCTGTTATCATTTACTAAGTTGGGGATGAAATATCGAAGCAACTTAAAGTATTTGGAACCAAGTAAATTATATGGCAACACCTATCAAACATATTATCATCCTACCTGTTTCGAGCATCTTGTGTTAGAAATTTTGGATCGATAGAAAGCTATATATACGATTGAATTTCACGGATTCCATTTAATAACATTAGAACCTAGACAGTTATTAGTGTTAAGAGATTGGGTAATTACAGAAGTGAACCAAGAATTAGTGAGAAGGGAATACTTACTTGACATCAGAATAGACCTGGGATATACTGAACTGTTGAATCTGCAAGAAATTGAGAAAAAGCAGAATGCCAACAGAAGGGGCAACTGAAAAGTGGTTAATATTGAACCTTGTTGCCAAGTGAATACATTGAATCATGCATGATCTTCTTAGCAAATGTGGTCGATTAAGGAGACGACATCACAGTTCTTCAGAAAATTATTGATGCAGATTATTGATAAGTAAGAAACAATGACCACATTCAGAAATCAGATTGTTTAATTTTAGTAACTCTAAAAGAACTGATGTTGAATTAGTAAAAGAACACATTAATAAAAATAAGACGAATGAAAGAGAAAAAAATACCCAAATCTAATGATAAATCAAATCCAATCTAGGTAGTTGGTGTCCTGGTATTAGAAAACTTGAAATGGAGACAAATGAATATGATTAATTAAAATAGTACTAACAAGAAGAATACATTGACAGTGACCTAGACAAGAACTAGAAGAAGCAGTTGATTAATCACAGCTGATCATTTTTAATACAAAATAGATTACTATATAGAGAGAACAAACAAATTAAAGATCAATTTTTAAAAGTAGTCTAGAAGCACAAAATCGACCCTGTTCTCTTGTTGACATATGATCATCTACTGGGAAAACATTTTGGAGCTAAAATGATGTTCGAAAAAATTCATAGAATGTACTATTGGCCACAGGTGTTAAAGCATATTAGAAAATATGTCTAATTGTGCAAAAATTGTTAAAAGAGAGGAAAAAACAAATATACAGAACCCCTATATCCCATACCTGTAATAGCACTATTCTACAAAGTGGGGATTGATATCATAGGCCCACTCCCAATTACTTTATGAAATTTACAGTATATAGTTGTAGCAACCTACTATATGATAAAATGGCCAGAAGCTAGGGCAATTTCGATTGCTGATGCTCAAAGTATGGCAGATTTCATCTTTAAAGATATCATGTGCAAGCATAGATGCCTCCTTAAGCTGTTATTGGATCGTGGCATTCACTTTAGAAATCAACTTGTCGATAGGTTGCTAGAAAAGTTCAAGATCAAGCACTTGCTATTAACACCATATTACCTACAGACCAATGGGTTGGTAGAATGATACAACAAGACTTTGTGTGAATCTATAGCAAGGTCAATTGATAATGTTAGTGACTGGAACTTTGTCATGCCTGCAGTATTATTTGTGTACCATACTTCCAAGCATGCAATAACCAAATCACACCATTCTTCTTGATGCATAAAAGAGAAGCCTGTTTACTAATCGAATTCAACGATTTGTTAGAAGGAATGATAATACAAAGAATGTTCCAATTGTTAGAAGACTTACCTATAATGTGCAATGAGGCTGTGTTGGAAGTTCAACATGCACAAAGAAAACAAAAAGAGCAGTACAACCGAAATGCCTGTTTGCTACCTGAATTGTCTATTGGTGATAAGGTCTGCTGTATCATACTTTAAAAAAGTATAACAGAAGCATGAAGTTAGAACCAAAATGGGATAGACTGTTTTATATCTATCAGATCCTAAAAAGAGATGTGTATAAATAGTGCACTATAGCAAGAAAGGTCCTTGCAACATCATTCAATATTACACTATTGAAGAAGTATTATGAATAGTCCAAATAGGAAATAAGAATCAAAAGTGTATAAAATAAAATTCCCAAAACTGATGAAAGTATTAGTATATTAAAAAAAATAAAAAATAAAAAATTTTTATCTGTAAAAACAAATTCGATTAAATACAAAAAAATGAATAAAACCCTATCACATTAGAAGAAATCTTAGATGACATTAATCACCTATATCTGATCAATGTCAATCCAGCACTCCCACCCTTTACGATGACCCACAACTACTCTGGAAGTGTAACCTTGACAATGAATTACCTCCAAAAAAGCTTGAAGTTGAAATAGTATATAACCTTGTTGGTGTATGGCTATTACTTGGAAATGCTATATGCAAATGGCACAGGGAGCAACAAAGTTAATTCCAAAATATGGTGAAAAGGCACTACTATACCTCTGCTGTCTGTACTTACGGCATATTTTAAAGTATAGCCTCAAACAGATCTATCAAATAACTAAGTTAGAGTTTGGGGACCTGTGAAAATTAAAGTTGCATGAACTTTAACAGCTGACTAAAGAAGGTCAAGCGTAGTATGCATGACCTAAGCAGAAGAGAAATAAGATGCCAGATTTTAAATAGAATTAGATAGAATTAATAAATGAATAATAAAGTAACTCAAACTGCAAAGCACAAACTACTTACTCAATTCTAAGAAAATTGCAAGTATTGTCTTATAAGACTCCAGTAACTATTGCTTATAAAACCCGTCTGTCTCAATAAGCTAAACCCACTATTGATCATTTGTTACAAGTCACATGACTATAAAGCCATCACTATAATAAAAGAGTTCCAACCCTAAATCAATGTAGTGTAATTTCAGATTAAGGCATACAAGTGAAGACACAGAAGAAAAGAATTAGTAAAAACAAATAGGTTGAAGGAAAAACTCAAGAGAAAAAGAATAGTACTTACCTACAGATGATAGAGCACTCATCTGATCATTACACAAGGCTGACCTTCGATTAGCAACAAACTTGCTGATGTAGGAGCTTCCATGATATTTGTGGCTATTGTGAAATCAGGAATTGTGATCCCAAATACCATGACCGATCACATAAAAAATGCACAAAATGCAATAAGTGCAATAAGTTACATTTAGAATCAGAAAAGGTATTTTGGATCCAGAAGGGTAGATAATAAATAAGAGAAGAATATGAGGATAAATTACATATTCTTACAGATATTAAATAAATAACTATAAATAGTTTTAATTAGTTTTAAGAAATAATAAATGTAAAGTCACATTTGTAAGTAATGAATTTAGAGTTATAATTAAAGGCTAAAATGGCTCTTGAGAGAAGTATGCTGGGTACACTTTATTTACTTTATTAAATAATAACTCCCAATACTCTACATAGTATTTAATAAACACTAACACTATTACTATTACAAAATCCTATAAACTCCTATAAATGATGCTGTTCAAACCTGTGACTATGTAACTTACTTACTTGCATTCATTGATCCAAAGTAACCAAAAGCCTTTCTTACCCACAAGCCAAATCTGACATCCTCTTTCGAAAAGGTTTCTTGTTGTATATTACATGAGGTTTAGAATTTTGGAGTAACTGAGTCACAATCTTCCAAACCCAACAATATATAATAATTATGACATATAATTAATAAGAGCATAGTAAAATTTAATAAAAAAAAATTGTATAAATAAATCAAATTTTTTCAACTTTTTTTTCAAGATAACAAAAGCAATAAATAGTAAAAAAAATACAAATAAATATCTTTACTGTATTGGTATGCTATATATCTTTGAATAGAACTATTTTTTGTAGCAAAACTCAAAAACTTTTAAATTGGTATGACCATATTTTTTAAAAGTTTTTTAATAAAATATAATTTTATTAGCAGTAGTACTCTTAACCAGATTCTTAAAAATTATATAGTTGGTCTTCTATAACCAAAGTGTGAAAAAGCTTTAATCAATCATGAACTATTGAATAAAATAAAGCATATTTTAATGGACCTACAAAATACTTTTCTTTATAACAAAATTACACATATATGGGCTAAAAAGCATTTCTGATTTGAAGAAATTGTTCCTGGTGATTATTGCATTATTGTAAAAGCTACTAATAACCCAGTTTTCATTACTGAAAAAATATACAAAATACTTTGCCAAGTGCATGATCAAATAACACAATATGAAGAGGAAAAGCAGATATAGAAAACAATAAGAAAAAGGTAAGAATAGATTAAGCAAAATATTATAGAACAATTTATAAATAATTGCACTATTTGTGCAGTTAGAAAGCCAACTTTTTACTCTTTAGCTGTAAACTGATTATTGTGAAAAAGTTTTTGTCATATGTCCAAGAATTATACATTTATTCTTTTTTTTTTTTATTGTGCAATTGTTTAAATTAAAAAAATTTTTTTTTTTTATTGTACAATTGTTCTGTTTTTATTTTCTCTTTTTAAATATTTTTTATTTTTTTATTTTTTTTTAGATCAATTTAATTGACATGACCTTTGACCCAGATAGTGAATTCAAATATATATATTATGTTTATAATCATTTCACTCAGTTTTCTTGAGTGAAAGCTCTTATCTTCAAACAAGCAATTGAAGTTGCAGCCTACCTGTTTGACCTTTTTAATTTAATAGGTTCATCTTTTCTAATACTTCAGTTAGATAATGGAAAGGAGTTTTGTGCAGATGTAATTAGAGAGTTAGTCAAATTGTGGTCTTCAACAAAGATTATTAATGGGCATTCAAGACACTCTCAGTCTCAAAGTTTCGTAAAGCATGCTAACAGAATATTAGAATGAAACTTGGGTAAGTGGAAAAAGAAAACTAGTTATAGTGATTGGTTATTCAGCTTACAATTTGTTATCACAGCTATGAATACTTCATAGTGCTAACTACATAAGAAAACCCCTTATGAACTTGTCTATAGTGATAAGCCAAGTAGTAATTGCATGTTAATTAATGATCTGTTTGAAAGGAACATTCTTAATAAAGAAAAATTCCTAATTCTATTGATATTCAAAGTATTTCTGTTATAAACTTTGATAATAATATAAGATGTAAGTATTATATATTTAATAACTTTTTAATTCTTGAATTATTTATTTATTAATTTTTTTTATACTTTCCAGAATCTCAATTTCTTTAATGATAATTTATTTATTTAATTTTATTAACATACATTATGTATTCTTAAGCAAAGACTTAGGACTTTTATATTAGCATAGCAAGAGCACTTTAAGTTGTTATTTGTTATATTTTTACTATTTTATTAACTTAATCTTATTATTTTTAGAAAGAAACTCAGGATTAAATAATGAAAATTACAATTTAGATAAGTTAATACAATATTGAATATGCTTTATTTATATTTTATTATTATTAACTCATACTTTAAATTTGTAGATAAAAGCTAAGAATTTTTATACCATCAACAGAATATTAGAGATAGTACTTTGGGTAGGTTAATGCATTAACAATTATTATTATTTTTATTATTGTTAACTAATATTTTAAATTTTAGATAAAAGCCCAAAATTTCTATACTGTTAGCAACTAGATAATAGTGATAATATTTTTACTATTTATTATAATTATCAGTTATTGTTAAATTGTAATATATGATAAAATTTATATATATATATATAGGCAGAAGTTTAGAACTATTACATCATTAACTAGATTATAATAATAATGTTTTAGATACATAAGTTAATATATAATTTATTCTTCTATGATATTATTCTTGTTAACTTACACTATTAATTTGTAAGTAAAAAGCCTTTAAACTAGCATCTGATAACAAACAGTAGTAGAAGTTTAATATGATCTTATTATGTCTTAAACTTTAGATAAAAACAACTTATCTCCATATCTACAATTGAATCATAATAGCAATACTTTGAAATAAGTTAAATTCATATCTGATTATTATTATTACTGCATTATTAACTTATACTTTTAGATAAATGCTTAAGACCTTATATGCAAATAAATAACAGTGATAGTAGTATTTTAGTTTTTTTTTCTTTTTTTTATAATATGTACTAAGCTGCTGTTTCAAATAAAAGTTTGGATTCGAAACCTTCATATATTCAGTTGGATAATGGCACTATAAATAGGTTCATATTTGTTTAAGAATTTTTTTATTATTATTAATTTTTTATTCTTAGACAATAACTTAGGATTTTTACAATGGCAACCAGATATTAGTAGTAGTACTACAAATAAGTTTCTTATATCAATATATTTACTGTTTTATCTTATTTTTATATATTGTTTATATTTTTATTCTTAGTTATAGGTTCAAGTTAACAGTAACTGAATAATAGTGGCAGTTTTTTAAGTAAGTTCATAATACAATTAGATTATTTTTTTTCCTGTATTAATTCACATTTATATTTAAGATGAAAACTTGAAACCTTTGAACTAAAGGCTAAATAATGGTAATGATACCTTAAGTAAATTTATATTATATATATATATATATAATTTTTTTTACTAATTTTTACTAATATTTTAACATTGTAGATAAAAGCCTAGAACTTTTATACTGGCAACTAGATGATGAAGGTACTTACTTTAGGTAAGCTTATACTTATGCTAATTTTTTTTTTGCAATTATATTTTGATATTTCTATTTTTTGTTAAGGTTTGGAACCTTCAGACAAGATTTACCTGTTTATACTTGCTATATATGTACTTTTTTTATATATATATACTAATTTAAACTACTATATTATTATTATGCATATTAGAATAAGTTTAAACTGTTAGTAAAACAAAAAGTTACATCTAGTATTTTATTAAAATAATTATAAAAGGTGTAGCAACTTAGTGAAATGGATAAGTTGTTATCCCCCAAATAGTAGGTTGTGAGTTTAAAACCCACTATAGCAAAATTTAAATTATTATTTATATAATATATAGACAGTATTATGGTAACAGCATTTTGTTAATTAGTTGAAATAGGATATCTGTAACTATGATTACACTAGCATGACTTGCAGGTTTGAAGCATCTGTATAACCTTAGTTACACAAAGAAATAAAACTGGTACCAGGTGATGCAAACCTAAAATAAGTCCTTAGGCTGTATAAATCTGTAGAACTGAGAAATCAGAGCTTACTTGGAAATTTTGAGCAGAGAGACAACACAGATATTTAATTGTACTATTATAAATACTAGATCTAGAAAATAAATACTAATATGAAGAAATCAGACAGACAAAAACTTTATATGAGGGTACAACCAACCAGGCTACTAGATTTCAAATCAGAAGAAAAAAATATTGAGCTAGTCTTAATATATTAAGAACAGATTACAGTCTTTTTGGTCTATCTAGATTGAGAATCTAAGGTCAAAGCAGAGTTATACTAA